GGAGGGACACAAACATGGCGGCCGTAAAGTAACAGAAACATCTGTCATCGAGTTTTGCCATTGAAACGAAAAGTTATTACTCTAGAGCTCCGACACATTTAAATTAACACTTCTTACAGAACAACAACTGTTTAGTTAGCAAAAACTTTACCAATAATTCATCTTTTTGACTACTCGAGAGTCTTATCGGGCCGCCATTTTAATGTCACACAACGCATAAACTTGGAAATTCAAATGTGCCCTATTTCAAAATGAGGAACCCTGTCGAGCTTAAACGCTGCAAAACGTCAAGTTATTAGAGGGTCTTACATCTGATCAAACTAAAACTTCAGAGGGATTGGTAATTTCTAATTTTGGAAAATGATGACGTCACATGAAAAGCGGCAATTGACTTAAGGGTCAGGTCATAAATAGGGTATCAAATTTTTGGTCAGGTCATAAATAGGGTAGAGAAAATCACAGATTTTGGTCATAAATAGGGTAAGGGTTTTGGGAAGCGGGCTGCACACCCCCACACAGGTTTTGTGGGAGTACTGTTCCCCCCCGGGGGGGGTGTCATGGGTACAGCTTGATCTCCATATAACAACCCTTAGCATAAATAAGCATAATTACTTCATGGTAAGGTAGTCAGGTGAGCTTAAATCCAAGTATTCTGATTAGTTCTTCGTTGGTCAAGCTTTTGTTATGGAAATGGCCACAGGCTGCATATATTTTTAATTATATCAGGGGCGAATCCAAAATTTTTCTTAGGAGAGGGTACACCACTAACAAATGGCGTAACAAACTGGTGAGGTAAACAAATTTTTGAAAGGGAATAGGTAGAAGGCTCCATCTCAGGGAGGGGTGGGCACCCCTGCACCCTCCCCCTAGATCCGCCCCTGCATATAATAAACTACTTACCAACCTACAATGCAGCTAGCTCGGGCTGTAGTGGGGAATATTGGCCAGCGGTGCTCGTGCCAATATTTCATTCGGTTATGTAAGAGGCTATTATTTTTGCAAAACTAGACTTCAAATTGATGTTCTTTTACCTTGTCTTTATTTACCTTCGAGTCATTTGAAGCCATATTTAGTTGAAAGGTTAAGGTAAGATTATTCCAGTTTACGGAGTATCAAGATCTCGACCTCAGATAAGCTTAAATCTTTGAACGGACATCACATTCCGAACGCTCTGTGATCTTTCCCTCCTTCGACCCTACTATCCACGGTCAAATTTAAGTATTAAAAAGTGAATACACGGATATTGCCATGCGATTGAATCATCCTGTGAACACACTAGGGCTTAATAATTATTACTAAACTATAAATAATTTACCTCGTTCTGTCCTGGTTTAGGAATCGGTACTTCTTCGCATTTCATTTGAGACGAACTCCCAGTTTCGTTGATTACAATAGCATTCATGGCTCTTGGTATATCCTTCACTATACACCCAATTAACAGAACTAAACAATTTAAACTGATATGATAACCGCTAGCTTGAAATATGGACCAGCACGTGTAAACTCGAGGCAAAGGTCGCCAAAAAGGTGAGAAGAAATGCACAGGGGAGGGGTGGGTATGAAGAGTTGGAGTAGGTTAGGGTGGTAAGGGGTGAATGGTTCCAAGCCCTCAGCGGTCGCGATCGTGTCTTCACCAACTTGCAGCTCTGTGAAGAGAAGATGGCCACTTTCCCTTACTGCGCTTTTCTATAACATGCGGACTTTAAAATTCAAAGTGCAACCAACAAATGCGTTTTCGTTACCGTCAATCAAATGTTTGACTACTGCCGAGCGCGCGGTAATCAAATCGTTGAGCACAGCGCGGACAACGGCAGTAAATAAATAAATAAATAAATAAATAAATAAATAAATAAATAAATAAATAAATAAATAAATAAAAATAAAAATAAAACAATTTCAATATATACGTTTTCAAAGGAAGCCATGCATGCACGAGAATAGATTAATAATTTAGCTGAGAGTCGTAGTAATGACCTTTTTATCTTGATAGCGTACTGCTAAATACATGTATGTTTAAGTAGTTCTGTAGTAGTCTGTTAGTAATGTAATGTACTGTACCTCGATGTAAGTAAATGTTATTTATTTAATAATAATTTATTTAATAATAATAATAATAATAATAATAATAACAATAATAAAAAACTTCACTCATAGACAAAACGGCTCATATATAGAACAACGTAATGAGGACATTGAATGAATTGTTGAAGGGAGTGCACATTGTTATTAGGTTTTAAAGACATTTGCGCTGCTAGGTGGCAACAACGTAGTTTAAAGACCTAATCAATTTGACATTTCAGCTTGATTGTACATGCGTAACACATTTTAACAATCTCTTTTTAGTTCAGAGAGTGTTCTAATTAATTAACCCATTAACTCCCGTGCCGCTCCTAACCGGCCGTGATGAGCTTTGGCCTTTGTTCCACTTCTGACGTCATCACCTTTGACCAAAATTGGCATCATGTTCAGCAGGAGGAAAGGACCATTCTAGTGATACCTAGATCAAATTGATTGACTCAATGGAACCTGAAATATGCACAAAAATACTCAGAAATTTGAGTGAAAAACTCGCAGCAAAATGTTTTGCGACTACACTTAGCTACTCTATGGTAAATATTGCCCGTCTCGATGATACCTTCTCAGAAAGTTTTGAACTGAAAGCAAGTCCAATAGAAGGTCAATCACTGCAGCAAGAAGATAAGACAAGGAGAAAAAGGACGAGCGTAAAAAAAAAAATTAACGAAATCAAAACGCCAAATTTTGATTTCTGCGTATGCCCGAGAAAAAATGTCGCAAAACCCGGACTAGTGGAAAGAAGGGCATGCTGTCATGTTGCAAATGCCTTTTTGAGAAGATTGGAGCTAATTGGGCCCATATCCAGGCCAAATATCTCCAAAATATCCAAAAAATGTGTTTTTTTTGGCAAAGAGCTCCGGGAGTCAATGGGTAAGGTAATTTTTTAAAACAAAACAAGAATATTATTTTGATGTTTCTATCGAAGAAAATAGGTCTCTTAGCTATAGGTTGTGCTTTTCAAAGTCGGCATGTTCATGATAGTATACTGACAAATTAGATGGCGAATAGGACAGTAAAAACATCAGTTCTGACCAGTTTGCAATTACATGTGACGCCGACGGTTAGTGATTTTGAAACGCATTTCTTGCCACTTCATAGGAATTATTATCCTTACTTTGCTCGTTCTGCTCTTCGAGCTTCTTTGGAGCGTAAGCCCTCCTTCCTCTCCCCACCCCTACTCCCTCCACAACTCAAATTTGCTACGTGGGCCCTGCTACTAGCTAATACAAACATGTTAAGCTGTCGGAAATTCCACGGAACAAAAGAGAGTTGTCGGTTTGCCAAAACAAAAAGACTATCCAACCCAAACAGATTTAATCCTTCTTGCCAGTGTGACCTGTAATCGATCAATTTCGCATAACGCCATGCTCTAAAAACTCTCACATTTCCCGACCTTTAAGTTAGAACTGCTGAAAAAAGGTAAGCGAATTTTAATTCGATTAAATAACTCACTGTTAGTGTTTATACAAAATGATCACGAAGGAGATCACGAAAGCTAAAAGGAGTTTTATATCTTCAGAGTCAAGCGTTGATAATTGCGTGTTCATGTTTGTATCCTCTCAGGTTTTTTTCGTCAAAGGTTTTCTCATGGGAGGTTCTGCATTCTATCTTATTTCCTAATGAGTCGCTAACTATGTTTCTTCTTGAGAATTGCAAGCGTTCGCTCTGCATAACAATGGTTCGCTCCCTCGGTATCTGAGCGTCGAGAAACTAATTTAAATTAAACTTTGAACGAGCTACATTGAGATAACCTGCATATATAACATGAACGAGGACTGTAATCTCTTCTCTTTCTTGGGAATTACAACCAGAAGAGTTTAGCTATAGCGATGTTGACATCTATTTGAATCCTTGGTTCGTTTACTTGTAATATTTACTAAATTTGAAAGACAAATAACCACAACTTACAAGTTCAAGACTTGTGCGCAGTGTTTGATTCGTGCTACTTCTCGAAGTGAAACTGAAGAAGATTTTGGAGTTACGTAACCTTTTTCAGAGTATCCGAGATCTAAACGTTTTACGATTTCAATGACAGTGGCCGGGGTGAATCGGACCTTTTAAGAACTTTGTTAACTGCATCACTAATGCAACTAGACTGCAAAACAGTCGTTTCCGGACGTTTTCGGAAGGCGCGATCCTCGCGTGTGAAGCGCGCGAGTCTCACACGCCCGAGGGCGTATTTTTTAGCGTCTCTGCCCATTCTCCCTCGCCGTTTTTACGCTTCAGACCTTTCGTTCAAATATTGACCGTCTCTCGCGTTCGCAAAAAATACGACTGTTTTGCAGTCTACAATGCAACATAATTAATGTTTCTAGATGTTCATTGTACGGAGTAAATGATAAAATCTACTCTATGGAAAGGTTCCATTCGCGTAGATAAACTTTCATCCAAATTGCACGGAATTTTGATTGATCCGCATAGTGTGCAAAGCAAACAAATTACCAATTACCACAATTTTGCCTGTTTTTTGATGTGACGGGAATGAGTTAACGAACTTTTCACCGCGAAACTTCTGCAGTTGCAAGGAGGACTAAGTTTAAATTTTAAGCTCCTGTATAGATTAAAAATGCAAATAATTAGATCAGCTTCATCATTTGCAAGTAAACTGCACTGATTTTGAAATAGCTTATTCGTCTGGGGTTTCAAGCTTGTGCATGCAGTTTTTTTTTTCCAGTGGGTAAAAAAAAAGCTTTCAATGTTTAAAGTGCATTCAAATACTGACAAATAAAGAAGACCTAATCGATGCGAATGAAATGTTGCATACAACTGTCAAACCGACTCGTAAAAAAAGGGACTGGGTACGAGGATCTAACCGCTATCTGGACGAGGATGGTGTCTTATATTAGTTTTGAGTTTCCTGATGAGGGGACCGGCTTACCAAACTCAAGTTAAACAAAAATAAAGAGCCGGATCATAGGTTATTTCCTATTAGTAGAAATTACAAATTATTTTTCTTTTTAAATGTTTGCCGTTCTTTCGTTATCTTGCCATCAAGTCCTTTAGCTGAGCAACTTGGTTTGAAGTTAAAGAGTCTCCATCAACAATAAGGCAATGCTTGGGATGTAAAGCCCCTTGTCGTAGGCCAAGGACACAATAATTGCGTTGGTAATCATTTCTTTCTCATAGCACTGGACCATGACAATATCCATTGTTGAAGAGGTGCAAGTTCTTATTCGGCAGTGGAAGGTAACATCAATAAATGGTACGTTCAGAGAGGAAACGCTCTTAAAACCAGCCTCGTTTTTATTACGATAACCGAGCGAAGCCTGAGATGAGCCTGAGATGGCTCGGTAACCCGACTCACTGATTACTGCCGGGTCCAGACTCCCCTCAGCCGAGACACCTTGGGACTACTTTAAACTGACCAGTTTTTTTTGTCCCTTTTTTAGTTTAAAGGCAGCTGGATTTCTAATTCTTCTTCCGTTTTATCCTCGTAGGTTTGAGCGGTTCTCTTATTGCGGTATTTTCTCTCGCTGTCCTTTACGAGTTCATGTCTTCTTATCACAGTTACCTCGACCTTCCCGCCGCCAAAAGATCTGTAACCCAGAAATCTTCCACAACCAAAAGGTTTGTGCCAGTATCGCTTTAACAGTCCTGCCGTGGCTAAACTCCCGGTTGACATTTTTGTTTTGTCAGTGAGAAACGTTATTCTTTGGCAATAAATTTGTGAAACTTTGAACTAGGCTTTTATACGCCTCCAATGCAGACGTTCTTATGGCTCATTACGTACTCCACAAGAAAGAATCACGCCACGAGACCAAAATTGTCTGTTGGCTCAGGAGGCTAGCATCACATGAGCATCACTAGGAAAAGTCAAAAGCCAAGAGACTTATTTCAATCAATTGAACCTACATATAATGGTGTAATGCTGTTACAAGTTATCCCATGAGTGTACTGAAGCTTCCAAA